TATATATATATATATATATATATATATATATACACATAAATTTAAAGGAAAAATGTATAAAATCATATGTGAGACAATCGCAAAGAGTGCGTTCTAAGTTACTCATGAAGTGCATAATGTATCATTTTATTCTTCTTTATTATTCGGTGAATAACAAAGATAAGTGATGTACCTTGTTTAACATTTCATGCGTATGGCATAGAAAAATTATGGACAAAAATTGGCCAACTTTGATTAACGATAACTTTGCGAAAAATTATCGTAAGATAACGTTGTTTCTTTAATGTTTGAAATCTGTACTTTAAGATAATATGGTCAGATTTTAAGTTTGATGCACCCTTGCTACTGTTAACTCTCAAAATATGAGAGTGTATTTGTCATATTGAAAATTGCAAAGTTTGACGAAATACACGAACTTTCTAAAATTTTTTAAAGAAATATCATTTACAATGGAAAAAAGTTCCAACTTTTACTTTTAATTTAAAAAAAAATCAAGTTGCTGCGATTTTTTTTCGTAATTATAATATTTCAAAGTTACCCTCGTCGTAGTGCATATATCGATAATACAGGTAATGTCGGTAGATATGTAAAAAAATGCGAGGGTAACTTTGAAGTGCTGTAACTTTGCGAAAAAAATCGCAACTCGTTTTTTTTTTAAAGGGGAAGGTCGAACTTTACGCCACTGCAAATGATATTTCTCCAAAAAATTTTACAAAGTCCGTATATTCTGTCAAACTTTGCAATTTTCAATATGACAAACACACACACTCTTAGATTTTTCTAATTTTGTTAATTAAAGCAATTAAAAAGAAAGAATATTACAAAATATTATACTTAAGATAAAAATAATAAAAGTTTGATTAATATACATATGTATAATCCTTTCATGTTTTTTATAATATTAAATATATTATAATAATAATTATAAGCTCATTAAACGATTAGCTTCATGGCTCAACTTATCCTTCAAAGATGCTCAACATGCTCTATAGATGGAGCATATTGATCCACTTTGCATCTTTGTAATTAACATAATTTTTGTCTTATTTACAAGATATTAAGGATTTATAAATACTTAATTATTGAGCCAAATAAACATGCAACGTTTTAAAGCATTTATTATTAGTCTATCATAATTGTGTGAAGATTTATAATAACTTAAAAAAAAAGTGTCACAATTAGCCTTGCTCTACCCTATATATAAATAAATTTAAGTATAAATCCAAACAAAAAGTACTTTCTCACATTTAAATAAAAAAATTTTAATTAATTTTCCTGGAAAAATTTTTGTCTTCACAAGAAAATGCCTCGAAAATCCGGAGGTAATTAAAGAACGTTGATATTATCGACAATTGATATAAATTTACGATTATTAACATAATAAATATTTAACTAATGCATTATTATATTTATGATATTTTATTATATGGCTTCTTTTTGGAAAGATTTTCTGCATAACTATCTTAGTTCAACCAGACATATGCAACGGATGCCATATTGCTTGCAAAATAGGTCACGCGCTGATTGGCTCAGAAATTGAACAAGTGCGCAGTATTGGGAATGCTACATCTTGCTTTTTACACCATGCTTGTGACTGTAATTTCTCCTCAATTTTAGAACTGACTGATAAAGTCTTTGTAAGTAATACATATTATTAATTTTGGAAATATATGTACCTTCCTCTATTGTACGTGCATATATACATGAAATAAAACTACAAATTTTTACATTTCAGATATCTGAACATTGCTTTTTTACATATTATAAAATGCCTACCACATGCAGTGCTCCAAGATGCACGAATTCTAATAAAGACGGATATTGCTGCACAATGTTTGCCCAAGATCCTAAATTGAAACAAAAATGGATTGATGCTGCTGGAATTCCTGATTGGAAACCTTCAAAATCAGCTGTACTGTGTGAGGTTGGTACCGAAGCGTGCATACAAATGTTTTATGCTATAACTTCCGTAAACACCAACAAAAATATCAATATTATAATTTCTCACTCAATATATTAAATTCAATATAATACGAATCTATGTAACAGTTACATAATTGTATGAAAAATTATAATATATTAATGTTACGTCAATGATAGTTAGTGGTACATATATTTTTCTCTAATGTGTATCTCTTATTTTTTAGGTTCATTTTCATTCATCAGAATTATTCCGCGTTGGTAGCAAAAAACTTATAAGGAAAGGTGCCATACCAAGTTTGTTTTGCAAATGTCAACAACCTATGAAAAGGAAATCCCTTGCAGAAATTCAACCAAAACAGCAATGTAATGAATCAATTGAATTTCTTCCTCACAAAAAAGAATTAAGGAGTGATCATTCATATGTTGCTACAAAAAATTCTGAGAAGCAAGAAAAAAAGAGATGCAATAGAGAACAGTATGTAATTGATGAATTGCAAGAACATAATTATTTTTCTCTTTCGAAAAAAAGAAAATCTATTGAGTCACGTAAGAAGTATGTCCATACTATACATTGTGTTATAATGAAAAAACCCATTAATATAAATTCATTGGAGACATATCAATAACCTGAAAAGGAAAATTACAGATCAAATTCTAATCTAGACATACATCATCAGAATGTACTGCAAACCAAATATTGACGGAGAGTTTATCTAGTCCAGAAGAATATAAAATACTAAAAGAAAAATTAAAAATGGCTGAAAAAGGAAGAGATATCTTAAAAAGTAAAGTTAATGACTTAGGAAAAAATATCGATAAAAATATACCGAAATAATCAATATAGTTTTTAATAAAGATCAACAAAGAGCAATTGTAAATGATACCACAAGAAATTCCAAATGGTCAAAAATAATCAAAAAAGGATTAAACTTGCATGTGGATCACATGGTGATAATCAGATAATTAAACTTGTTGCTCCATTTTCTTCATTAAGAAGTATTTTATTTATTAAGATGTATCTTATTTCTCTAAGAAGCTCTTCAGTTTAAAACAGACTAAGGCCGTAGTCAAAGTCTTGCTACAAATGCTTTGAAGCATCACATTGACCATACCCTAAGACATATATACAACAGGAAATCACGCAATACCTACTTCTAGTTATATATATAATAAAGCACTTTCTCTTTTGAATGCATTTCTAATTATAGAATATGTGGATATGTCGTTTTCAAATTGAGGAATTTCATTAAATGTGAAGATTTTTTTTATTACCTAAAGTTGCAAAATAGTTCTGATTTAACGTTTACATTATCCTTTTTTTTATTTGCTTTTATAGCTATTTCAGATTATACTCCTGGAGCTCAAATAAGAATTAATAAAGAAGTGTTTGATATTCTTGAAGAGACAGAAAGAATTATATGGAAAATCAAGTCCAAATTATTAGACAAGTCTATGAATGACAGTTTAATATCTTATCTTCATACTGCTTTGAAACATCTCCCTTTAAGCATTTGTCATTATGTTAGGGACAAATTAATATCTCGATTTATGTCAATGCGTATAAAGCAATTATCGGTAACTGTGAATGCTACAAAAAATATGAACAAGAATATATCATCAGCTTTTGGAAGTAAGACGATGGGAACAGAAATATTAGCTGATAGGCTTCAAATAGAAAAATTATGCACGAAAATACTGAGTTGGAGATAAAGTTATTTTTGAGATTAAAGCAAAACTTATTTTGTAGGTATTATATTTATTTTATAATATTATTTTTATCTATATGTTAAATTTATGTTATCACTGACGGTCATTTTATGTGATTGAATTATCAGTATTTTTCTTTTCTTATTATAGGTATGACAATGTATGATAAATATTATCTAACACATACATTTTTAAAATTTACGTTGAATAAATATCTTATATTTTTCTTGATTAATGACTTACATTTATATTTTTCATGATGTTTATAATTAATCTTTTATTTGAAATAATGCGTGTTTGTGAAAGAACAGTGAGCTTAGTACGATAACAGTGCAACTAAATTTTTAATTTCACAGTACAAAATACTCCAAACGTTTCGGTTCTCACAGAACTATCCTCAGTGAACAAAAAACTTACAATAAAATAATTTTAGACTTCATTAATTGATACGCTGTTTATCTTCAAACTTTTCTTCAGTTAAATTGCTAACGTCTTGTACTAAATATCGGTTATAAGGCTTGCGAAATGAAGGGTCTAAAAAGAAATAAAAATCGGAGTAGCAGTTTCTTAGGTAGTTTTTCACATTAAATCGAAATTCTGGAAACAGAATTGTTCCATCACTTCAGGATTTCGAGATATTTTGATCTAAAGTTGCAAAAAACCGCTTTTTTTTTTATATATTCGAGTATTTCTGCCGTAATATTAGCACTAATTTTATATGAAAGTACTAATCTTCTTACCTTCAAACTCATATTGTTTTAATCCGATATTTTTTTTTTGCTGAGATGACAAATTGGATTTTCGAAGTTTCAGTAACAACTGGATAAATGATATACATAAATATATTGCAATCAAAAAATGGAGATATATTTCTTTATTCATTGACAGAAAATTGAACTGCACTCCGGGCAAATTCGTTTTTACAGCGGAACGGAACAGCAAGACCAATCACAATTGCAGAAAAGAAAGCCGAGTAATGATTGCAGAATTGTGATTGGTCGCGCTGTTCCGTTCCGCTGTAAACTTCCATTCATGGGACGGCCTTAAGAGTCACAAATCAGGACTACTTTTTTGGCTTGCGCGCTATCGGGTCTCCTTCTCTCTTAGAATAAAATCACATGATGAGAAAAAAGGCTGCGGAATAGAGAATATGTCATTAAAATAATCAATTAGCGCTATTCAAAATAACGTAGAATAACGCTGATTGATTGCTTCTATGTCGCATTCTCTATTCCGCAATCGTTTTCCGTACCGTGTGATTTCACTCTTTTATTTGTGTATTCTTCTAGAGCATCCAATAGCAGCGAGTGCTTACGGATCTACTTCGCAACAGTTGAGTTTGCTGAACGCGACCCATGACACAAATAATGCTAAGGCTCTGCGCACAATAGAAAGAATAAGGAATTAGAAATAAAAAATGAACGACTTTAACCTATCAGAAATTGGATACTTCAGAATACATGGTTTCTAATAGGTTAAAATTGTTTATTCTTTATTTCTATTTTATTCTTTCTATTGCGCACAGGGCTTAAAGCCCGATGTTCCGATGCTTGAAATTGGTCCGAAATCTCGGATAAAGAAAAAATTAATAAATTACATTTGAACAATTTGATTATATGACCATTGCGATTGATCAATCCTTTCTTCAGCCAAAGTCTCGGATCGATTTGAAATCGAGAAAGTTTGCAATATTTATAAAAAATGTAAAAATTGAGTACATCTATAGTATATGAGTACGTAAAATTGAGTACGTCTATCCATAATAAGTACATACAATGAGTACATTTTTATTAAGTTTTGAAGTGATAGGGATATTCTAAATTCCAAATAATTATCTGAAATGATGGTTGTCCAAATTGTAACTGCACTAACTAAGTTATCATATAATCACAAGTTTTTAGCTTTTTCATATTAATTTTCAAGCTGAGCAAATAAAAGACACATATTTGAGACTAAACTTTAATACATATGCTGTTGCCATTATTCCTTTTCATGAGCAACAAATGCAGTGAAAGCAATTATGAAAAATTGACATTACGTGACATTTTTGCTGCCGCTGGCTGCGCATGGAAAGGCACCTTAATAGCGTCTTCCTGAATGCAGCCTTGGTCTGTTCGTGCTGCTTGAAATCCCCCAAAAACTTAAAATAAAGACAATGATTTGAACTTAAAATGAGATAGATGTAAATTTGGACTACTTCCACCATGGTTTGGACGTTAAAAAGAGAGAGAGCAAAGATGCTGAGGGCAAAAAGTTCAAGCAACGCAGACAATCTTTTCTCCTTTTTATCACATTCGACATATAATTGATTAGTGTGTCACTGCATGTATATATGTGTATAAATGCATTTGCACTTTGTACTTCGTACTTTTTAGACTTTATTTTAGCTTCGTACTTTATTATATTTTATTTCTGTTTATCGACCATTTGGGATATGGCAATAAATATCGTCAAAAATAGTTTGGGATCATTAGGAAAATGTAAGTGTTATATAGATAATTAATATTCTTTCTTAATTAGAACAAGTCACAACAATAATAAAATTACGTTAAAATAAATCATTAATGTTTTAAACATTTAGTGATCATTTTAAAGTCATTTTAATGTCATAATCATATTTCTGCTTAGATAATAGTTTTTTCAAAACTATTTAACATATTGTTTTAAAAGCCCTCAATAATATATATACCTTTAATTAATTATATAGTCAAATGTTCCTTTTTTATTTTGTTTTTTTTTAATTAAAGTTTTTAAAACAAATTTTTCTCTATTATATAAATTTTAGTTACAGAAATCTATAGCTATTATGCAATAATTTTATCTTTATTATTGACATCTTGCAGATTTACAAGCTGCTTCTGCACTGAGATATTCTACGGAAATGTCACCAACGTATAAAACATTAGTAGTAACTATTCCAAAACCATTTGTTTACATGGTCAAGTTGAACAGGCCAGAGAGACTAAATGCAATGAATCCAACTATGTGGAAGTAGGTGATTTCTTATCACTCCCTATCATTTCATAATTAAACTGTAAAAAAAAACTTATATTTTCATAAATTATTTTCATTTAGAGAATTTAAGGAATGTTTTGAGGGATTGTCAATGAATCCAGATTGCAGAGTTGTTATTCTGTCAGCTGCTGGCAAGACATTTTGTGCAGGTAAATTATAAAATAGCTATAAGGAGGATTACATATTCATCTAAATCTTGAAAAAAAGTTTATTTCATAATATGACAACCTGATGCTGCAGGAATTGATTTGCAAGGAGTGATGGACATGGGACAAAGTTTAGCAGAACATGAGGATATTGCACGCAGATCTAAATTAATAGAGTCTACAATTAAGGATTATCAAGATTCATTTACTGCTATAGAAAAGGTAATTTGTTATTCATGAAGATAATTAATGTAATTCATAAACATATATTAAGTACGATTGATGTATATTCTAGTTTTCACTGAGAGAATGTTTCATTATATCTCTTTAACTTATATGATCAAAGTAATGACACAGAATAATTTTAACAGTGCTTGAAACCTGTGATAGCTGTTATACATGGTGCTTGTATTGGTGCTGGCATGGACATGATATCTGCAGCTGATATACGTTATGCTTCTTCTAACGCATATTTTCAAATAAAGGAACTTGATATAGGCATGGCAGCTGATGTAGGTACACTTCAGAGATTTCCAAAAATTGTGGGATCTGACAGCTTAGTAAGAGAGCTTGTCTATACAGCGCGAAAGTATCCAGCTGCTGAAGCACTAGAAAGTGGATTCATAAGTCGCATGTTGGATAATGAGGAGAGGTAAAATAATAAATACATTGAAATAAGAAGTTAAATACAAGAAATATAAGTTTGTAATGATTATTCAAATAGAGCGATGTGAATTTTAATGACATTATTTATATTCTCTATTCAGCTTATTGAATAAATCAATAGAAGTTGCTGAAGATATTGCAAGCAAGAGTCCAGTTGCGGTGCAAGGTTCAAAAATGAGTTTGGTATATTCTAGAGACCATTCTGTCCAAGAGGGATTAGATCATATTGTGAGTGCTTTTTTTATTCCACCTGAAATGCAATAAAAAATTTATTTGTTTGTTATAAATATGAACACATGAGATATTTTCTTATACTTGAAAAATTGTTTTAATAACATATTTTTGGAATTTGTTTCAATAGGCGATGCATAATAAAGCAATGCTTCAAAGTGAAGATTTTTTGAATGCAGCTATGGCACAAGCTGTTCAAGGTGATCCTCCAATATTTTCAAAGTTATAAATTGTTTCATTCTTGAGCTTAATGTTCTTGATACTTCCAATGTGTATCACATCGATATTATTTATATTAATGTTATATTAATATTAGATATAAAAAAGATATATGTATTTTTTGAAAATGTATTTATATTACAAAATATAGAATAAATTTATGTAACTTTTCTAATCACAGATTTTAACATTTTTTATACTGATATCCCTCTTTTATGAAAATTATTTCTCTAAAATAATACATATATTTTTATATCAGGTAATATGTTGAGATAAAATGCTTTCCGATTTGGACTTTGCAGGTTTCAGCTCTGCCGATTTCGCTTTCATTTTATCAACAATATTATATACATTAATGTCTTCGGGAATTTTTACCTATAATTTGTATATTTTGGATGAAGATCTCAAATGATAGATTCAATAACACGACAAATCTTTCAGATAAAGTGTATACTCCTGTTGAAAAAAATCTTAGCAATATTAGAAATAAATCTATATTTTTACACACGATTAACAAATTGATGTAATGTTCATAATTAATTTTTCCAGTTTCCGCGTCGCAAGCTACGGCCATCATATCGGCCACTTCTTCTTTTGTAAATGGCTCTCCAATTTCCATAATTGATTTCTCTAAATCATCTTTCATGATATATCCATGATTTTCAGGGTCTAATAATTGGAATGCTTTCAATAATTCTTCTGGTTCTGCTGGTTTGAACCTAAGTACAGAGCAAGTATAAA